TTTGTCATGACTGCATTTTAGGAATTTATTAGGAATATAGACAACTGCAGCTATACCCGCAAATTAGTTTTTTTTTTTTTTTTTTTTTTTTTTTTTTTTTTGTTAGAAAATAACGTGAGTTCTGAGCAATCAATAGCATCACTATTCGAACAATTCCCCAGCCATCAGTACACTGGACTGGATAGCCAGGTTGGCTGGCCACCACTATGCAGGGTCATGGTGTTGATTCCTATTTTCAAGGCTACCTTTTGCTGTGGTTCAAGAAATTCCAGGATCTTAAGATATGCTTCTCTACTTAGTATCTGTACTGTATACTGGACATGGACACATGCTGGTCCCCTATGTAGCTCTCCACTTGTTTATCCGTTGACCATGTTTTTAAACTTGTTAAATGTGTGACTAGGTAATAAAAAGTAGCCATTGGACCATAAAATTTCAACCAACTCAAAAACAAAACAAAACAAAACAAAACCAGAAACAAACCACAACTCATTACTTATTACCACATCTCTGGTGTTGTCACAGCAGACTAGCCTCTGCCTTTGTCCTTATTTTATGTATATCTTATTTCTGCAACTATTTTGGCAAACATTTTCTACATCAGATATTTGACACAGAAGAAAGATCTTTATTCCAGTTCACCCATGAGTTCTCAAAATAGTGTTCCTAAGGTTCATTTCTCTTACCTAGTACTGTTTTTCACCAAGCAGCAACTTACTTGGACAAAATTTGATTATTTGCAACTTCCTAGCCTTCTCTCTGACCAGTGTTTACAGTAACACGCTTGTTTTAAATCCATTCTTTCAAGTCTCCATGTCTTCTTTCATTTTACCTTTTTTTCTTGCATTGTCTTCTATTTGGTTTTGGTTTTCCTACTTTATTACAATTCTGTCTCTCCTTAGCAAGAGCTTTTCTCCCTTTCACACTGCACTGCTTCATGCATTGTCACAATTCAGAAATGATATGGGCCTTGTGACAGGGCTCCTTTGTTTTTTTCCTGAAAAGGTGCAAAAGGCCACCTGTGTTATAAAAGGACATTCCAGTCAGTTACACTCCTTAGTTTTCAAATATTCAGTCTATGTTATAAATAGTTCAAGGTCAGAAAGACTGCAATTAACAGAGCTAATTTCCCTCACCATTTACCTTTTTTTTTTTTTTGTAAATGTATTTTTCCATATTTGACTTCACTGAAATGATTATACTCTCACTAATGCTGATGTTACTGTACTCTAGAAAACTGATTTTCTCTTTTAATTTGTTATTGGAAAAAAAAAAAAAAGCCATGGTAAATGAATTTAACAGGTTGTGTTTGATCCTAAAAGGGGTGTCATTGTATCCTGTATTCACTGTAAAGTCAAATCTATTATTAAAATCTTTTACTATTAAAGCTTATACTGCTATTCAACACAGACTTCAACAGTTTTTTCCCCAGGAAGATGCAGCTTGTCATTTTTTCCCTGTGTCACTGAAAGCATAGGACAGCATTAGCAAATTGTGTACACGGAAGAACTGACAATGTGAGAGAGGTAGGTGGAAAGTAATGCAAAACTTGCATGTAGCTATGCTCTATTAAGTAAGAGTTCTCTGCAGACAACAAAGGAAACCTTTGTAAGCATCTGTCACTGGGGATGCACTTATCACTTAGCAATTTTAAAAGCAAACTCAAATGTGCACTTGCATTTACATACTGGGTTATTTTAAAGATCTTGTCACTAGATCTTGCAGGTCTTATGCACATACAATTCTGGAAGTAACAATTTAAAGGTTGCCTTAGAAAATTCATTTCTATATTCAATCATAGTTAAACTCCAAGTGAACTGATACTGGCTTTTGAAAACATACTTTGAATTTCTGATAGTATCTTTCTTCTTCAAAGCATTTTACAAGCTCTTCTGTTTACGAAGATTACAAACTAGTAAGATCCAGCCAGCTCTGAATTAGAAAAGACTAATCAACTATCAGGGAGTAACTAGCCACTTCATTGTGCGTGTTGAAGGAATTTTATCTCAATCAACAGGGGCATATGGGCTTCCTGTTATGAAGAAACTTAAGAAACGAGTTGGTTGGTGTCTTAAAGATACTTCTCAGCAAGTTCAACAAATTTTAATTGAGAGTTTTACTTGTTTTCTTTTAAATCAGAAGAATCTGGCATAATATAAGCAAGGATTTATTTTATCATAACTTATTAAACAGCAAGATGTCAAAAGTAAATCAACATTACATCTCATTGCATACAAACACAGCTGAATAACCAGACCCATTGCCTCTTCTAGCCAAAAACAACCAGCTGCATTGCTTATCCTGATTACATCAATTTAAGCAGTATTTCCAAAAGCAGCAAGAAAGACCAAAATAAGCAATTGAATTAAAATATTGTTTGGTACATTTGGATAAACATATGAATTTACCGTAATAGGAGAGATAAATCTTAGGTTGAATCAAGTGGTAAGCTTCTGTAGCTATGTAATTTAAAACATATTCTACCTGTCACTGAGTTTCTCAGTTACAGTGACACCACTCACCTTTCTTTGTTGCTTCCTGGAAGAAAATCCTTCTAATTTAAGAGTTTAAGTTTCAACACACTTTATCATTCTTTTTTAACTGTGACATTTGTTATCAACTTTATGCCAGTATTCTTGCAACAGTGTTTGCTTGTCTCTGCCATAAGGGAAAGGAAATGTAATGAAACAAGTCCTACGGAGAACAAGTCCTACGAGGAGCGGCTGAAGGAGCTGGGCTTGTTCAGACTGGAGAAGAGGAGGCTCAGGGGCGACCTTATCGCTCTCTACAGATACCTTAAAGGAGGCTGTAGAGAGGTGGGGGTTGGCCTGTTCTCCCACGTGCCTGGTGACAGGACGAGGGGGAATGGGCTAAAGTTGCGCCAGGGGAGTTTTAGGTTAGATGTTAGGAAGAGCTTCTTTACTGAAAGGGTTGTGAGGCATTGGAACAGGCTGCCCAGGGAGGTGGTGGAGTCACCATCCCTGGAAGTCTTTAAAAGACGTTTAGATGTAGAGCTTAGGGATATGGTTTAGTGGGGACTGTTAGTGTTAGGTTAGAGGTTGGACTCGATGATCTTGAGGTCTCTTCCAACCTAGAAATTCTGTGATTCTGTGATTCTGTGAAAAATGTAATGAAAAAATAATACACTGTTGTCTCCTTGTAGGTTTGGAAAACTATACGAAAGCTCCTTTTGATTTTATTTTATCTGGATATATGTGGACCGTATTTAATTGGAAAGTATTGATATTCTTTGTCCTTAGTGACTTTTGCAACCACTTGCAAGTGAAATCTAGAGCTTATATAATTTATTATTGTTGTGATTACTGCTGCTGTTTTTAAATAATAGTTATTGTAGTCTAAGAATATAAAAGGGGCAAGACTTACAGGAAAAGGTAATAACATTTTTGAGATTAATTGGCACAGACTGAAAAATTGAAAAACTTTTAAGAGCTTTTCTTCACAAATATTTCCTCTCATATTGCTTTTTCCATTAATGTGAAACAAAGAAGAATATTAAGTATTGTAAATCAACAGGGGGTCTGACCTTGAGTCTCAAGCTCAGGAAAATATTTAGCAATATGACTCCTATCCACAGCTAGCAAAATATTCAAAGATATTCAGCAAATTATTTAGTAATACATTCCTACTTTATTGCAAGGCAGTGTCAAATAGCATTCCAAGCACAATGATGCTGGGTTTCACACTGGGGTCTCAGAGCAGAATATCACCTGTTTTTTTTTTTTTTTAAACACAAGATCATTGACTTTCAATATTTCATCTAAATACCATCATGTTAAAATTCCTTTCTGACTGGCAACAGCGAATGGTGAGAGGCAAAATAGCTAGAAGTGTTGTAGGGCTCCTCTAACTCACTCAATCTTAAATTTTCAGGTTGGACTACGGGTTAGACTGTATTCTTTCTTCTCCCTTTCTGTTCTCTCTGATCCTATGTTCTATCCTTCTTATCACTATGAACGTGCTTCTCCAAATGTTTGTGAAGACTTTCTATGGACAGTGCAATATAGTAACAATAAAATATGACTAAGTGAGAAATGACACTTTTTTGGGAAGATTACATTAACATTTCATGAGGACACAGTGTTCTTATGCAAACTAAGAGTAAAGTCAGTGGGGTAGACACAGATATTCTTGCCAAAAGTATCACAGGCTATGGAGTATAAACAGTGTGGGTTTTCTTGTTGTTTGTTTGTTTCATCTGTAAAACTGGCCATCCGTACCAAAATTCTTCCTAAATCTACATCAGAATATCAATACAACACTGATATTTGACAGATGAAAGAGAATGCTCATATACTATCATACAGGCATACAGCTCCTCTGAATCCTGACTGTACTCCAAAACAATAGGACTATAGGAAAAAAATTATCTACACCCTATGTTTAGGAAGCTTCTTCTCATAAGTACTTCAATACTTCAGAAGTCCATTAAACTGGTTTCACAGGTATCTCTGAAAAGTTAAGAAATTAGAGTTAGAAAATGACATGTTTTCAACACAGTTCAACTGGAATTTGGGGGTACAATTTGTGCTCAAAGTACCCCTAGGCGCAACATGCAGCAGTGCAAATAAAGCTGGACACTGCTGCTAGAAAATATGGTGGAACTGAGGTAAATATTGTTAATCAAACACCATAATAAGTCATGGTGAAGGAACGTTGAGTTTTTAGGCTTCGAGAGATTAAGAAGAGGAGGAGAGCTTTAGCTATTGGCTTTTGAACGTGCCTTGCTAAGGCAAGCTAGCTGTATTTGAACAATACCCAGTGTTGCTGTCCCTGCAGATAACACATTCCACCTGCTGCCAGCACATCACAGAATCAAGCCTATCCCTGATCAGGTCTGCTGAAGGTAATTCTGACGTGTCTTTTTTATTTTTTTTTCCTTTCTGTTTTGCTTTCTCATCACCCTAATACATTTCAGTGTTAGTAGGGACCGCGCCGGGCCGGCCCCTCGCTGCCGCGGCGACTGTTTCCCAACCGGCGGGTGAAACTTCGGCAGAGCCCGGCCCTGAGGGCATGGGGCCGGGCGGGGCGGCGCCACGGCCGTTATGGCGGCGGAGAGGCGGTAACGGCCCAGCACGGAACGGCCCGGCCAGGCCGTTAAGCCGCCGTTCCGCGCCCGGCTCCGTGTTTGGCTCCGCCTCTGCCTGCGGGGCTGGCCGAGGGGCGGTGGTGGCGGTGGCGGCGGTGGCGGCGGGAGCCGGCGGGTGGAGGAGCCGAGTCCTTTCAGCTGCGGTTCGTTACACGATGGGGGGAGGGCGGCCGCTAGTTCGTCCCCGAGCTGCCTCAGGAAGCCTCAGGCGGGTAAAAGCCACTACTAAGGTCTAAAGCACCAGGTGGTGATAGCGTTTTGTTCGTTTGGGCAAGTTAATCGTGTAGTTGTTCAAGTTTGTTTTTTTTTTTTTTTTTTTTTTTCTCCCAAATGCTTCAATGAAGCAGGCTCTTTTCTAGGTAAATGAGTCCCATTTCCCTCATGAGGGGTTTTTGCATTGGGAACTCATACATTTTCTGTAGAGAAAGGTATTTTGTTCTCCAGATCTTTCAGTATTTTGCTTGAGATTGCTTATTCTACGTATTAAGCATGGTAGTGTTCTTTAGCTGATAGTATAGTGCTTTTATAGGATGCTGTTTGCAAATGGAGTGTGGAGAAAATACTGCCACAAGAAAAGATTTTTCTACTTGAAAAGAATCCTTGGATGTTTTCCTCAGAAATGCTGATGTCTGTGTGTCAGATGATCTCCAGGCTTAGGCCTCCTGCTTCCAAATTAGCTTTCATCAGGTGAGCTTTGGAGTTGGCAAGTAGCCGTAGGAAGCACAGGGTCTGGTAGGGTGGTTTTCTGGGGAATTAGGGTCTGCAGTCTTGGCGGCCACAAACTAAGGTGGGTTTCAAAGCCAAATGAAAATATGTCCCTTATAAAAACAAACCTAAGAATTAATATAATAAAACTTTGTGATTTCTAAGTATTGATACTGTAGCCAAAGTCTCTTGTCAACATTATTCTTATGCTTTAGATTGAAATTGGCTTGAGAAGATTGTTGGAGAGAGACAGACTAAAAGAAAGTTTTCTATACTTAAAAATTGTTATAGAAAGATGACATCTTGGACTTTACCCTGATGAATGAGCTTCTTGAGAGGAGGAGTAGTGTTACAGTAGCTTGCTAATCATGTGTTGGAAGCCACAGAGACAAATAAGGATATTGAACGTCATGGTGGGGAGAGATGCAGGGTTATCTGCCTAAATGCTATTAGCTTGTGAAACGAATTAGATCAGATTCCTGATTATTTAGGTACTGTTTTTCTTTTTTTTTTTTTTTTTTTTTTTTTTTTTTTTTTTCCCCTCTATCTGATGTGTTGTGTTTGTAACGTGAAGCCCTGAGCAAATGTTTCTGTGGTCTTATGGACTTCAGAGTATGAGACACAATTGCAACGTTGATGATAACAGTAAAAGCCTAGAATAACTCCAGAGTGTCTTAATTCTAGATTTACAGTTGGTAGCAGAGTTTCTCTTCATTTTAACTATGCATTTTTGAATAAAGAGCTCAAACTGGTCCTGCCTTTGAAACATATCATAGAGCTTCAATGAACTAGAAGGTAGAATTAGGAATTTCATTTAATGTCTGACTTACAGAGAACCCATTGCTGAGATCCTTGTGCAGGGTTCTGTTTCTTCTGGGTCAGTTAGTGTGAATAATGCATACAAGATGAAAACTTACAGGGGTTTGCAGTGTGAATTGTAGTTGCCTGCTTAATATTTGTGACTTTGCTTATGTATGTGGCATATGTTAAACAAAATGTACTATAGAAATAGGAGTTACTAATAGCCTTTACTAGAGGGAGACTTATTAAAACTATAAATGCTGAACTTCTCATCTGAAAAGTATGTTTTCTTTTTTTTATTATTTGTTGTGTCTATAATGTTAGTGTTTTGATAGTGTAATTTACGGTAATAAAAATGTAGTACTTGTTTTAGGCTGCACTGAGTTGTACAGAACATGCAGAACTCTAAAATCTGAATGTGTAGCTGCTGTTCTAGAAGCACCTGATGAGATCTTTCAGGTTCCTGTGGAAAACTGGCTTTGTAGGTGTTTGTTTTTATTTTTTAATGAAATGTTGAACTTAATATTTTGTCTATCAGCTTGATTTTGGGAAAAGAATTTTCGCTCTCAAGAACATTTTTCATTTCTTTCATTATATTTTGGTGTGGTAGGGTAATTAATAATAATTACAAATTAAGTCTTGATTATTCAATTTTTTTTTTTTTTTTTTAGCAGTTAGGTCTTCTATGATCAAGAATCTGTGTGTGCGATTACTTATTTTTAAGAAAAGCATTCTTTTATTTGAAATGAATTAACATTTTTGTGGTTATGATAAACTTTAACTGAAATGCACCTGTATCTAAATTCAAGACGTGTTAAAAGCCCCGTCTCCATTAGCTTCAAAATATCGACTGGCTGAGCTAACATGGAACTGTGGCAGTTTGTCTTGCTTAACTGGGACATGATAGAGAGATTAATTTTTTTTTAAATAATTTTAAATACTTGATAAAAAAATAAACAGAAATGCTGACTAATGCTGTTCTAAGGTAGATGCATTAAGAGTTATTTTACTTTTTCTTTTACTTAGGGCTCAGAGATGGATTCTTTGGAAAGGTCAACAATTAGAAGTGAGCAAAAATCCAGGTAACTAGTGTTGCAGAGACTAGTTATTCTGCAAAACTATTAATGAAAATCTGAAAACATAATGGAAATACATTATTGAAAGTCAAGTATGAGAACAACATCATACTTGACAACTTGAAATGATCTTCAAAAACTAGTTTCTCCTCTAACCATGTGCTTCTTATTTGCTTAATTTGTTCTTGGGGCATGAATAATATGCTTGCTGAGTAGAAACAATTCCTGCTCAATGTAGCAGGAAGACAAGGGGGTTATCAACAATATTTTCTTTGTAGGCTTTAGCTACAAGCATTACCATTATGAACAGGATTATTAATTTCTTTGCCTGAGGCCATTTCAAGTTAAATGTTTCAGTTTTAGTTAGTTTCAGGTGATTGTGAAATAAGAGGTATTGAAGAACTGTGATACTGGATTAACAGTAATTAACTGTAGAGGTAGGTTTGAAAGTCAAGGGAATGTTGAGGTTTTTTATTACTGAAATCTTTGTTTGTCTACAGTGATTTAAATGTCTTTACACTTCTTTGCAAAGTAATGATGGAAAGAATAATTGGTGAGGAAACATCAGTTCTTTTACACTGGCTTGGTGCTAAAATACATATTTGGAATAAGGGGTTAAATGGAATTATTTTGTATAAACATCAGGATTATTACTGAAACACAGCCAGACTCTTGTGGTAGTTTCTTCTGCTGTCTTGTTCAGTGAATACTGGGATACTCTCAAAGGTGCATTTGGCTGTAACCTGTGGATTGTAGCATCAGAACAGGGGGCTAGATAAACCCTTGGTCTGAACAAGCATGACTGTTCTTATGTTTGTGTGTCCTAACGTGAGAATAAGTGGGAATAAATACACTGCTTTTTTTTTTTTCTTTTTTTGCTAGATAAAAACAAGTTTTGTTTGAAATAGTAGAACCTTCCCATTTCTAATAGTTTTAATTACTTTCTGTCTTGTGCATTAAATAAATGATTTGGCAGTCCTTTGCTTTTTCAAAATTTCGTTTGAAATGGTGTCTGGCTAGCCCAGTGAACTGAAAATTGTTAGTCAACTGTTTTGGGTCTCAAAAGTATTAGTGATTTAAAGTTGCTGTCATCTTACGGCTTTTATTATGCATTATTATGCAACATGGGGGGAGAAGTCCATTTTAACTTTGGGGAAGATTGTTAACTGCTGCCATGCTTCTGCACAGAAGAGGAGGACTCACTTCCTTCTGGGTGTTCAATATTTTGCACAAGTGTTAATATCTCATACAGACTTCTTGAGTGACAGGAAATCTTCAGACAAGTTAGAAGTAGAAAATGTGCTAAACTGCAGAAAATGATCTGTGTTTTTTGTTTTCTTCTTTTGAGAAAATTCTTAAAAAGCCTAATAACAAAGCAGCCTCAGGACCTTCTTCTTGTAATTGGAACTGGAGTAAGTGCTGCTGTTGCACCAGGAATCCCAGCGCTGTGCTCCTGGAGAAGCTGCATCGAGGCTGTAATTGAAGTAGCAGAACAGTTGGAGGTGCTGCATCCAGGAGACGTGGCTGAATTTTGTAAAGAAGTGATCAAAGATAGAGACCTGCTTGTGGTTGCACATGATCTCATCAGGAAAATGTCACCAGTGAGTGTTTTTATAACATATGCTGACTTCTGGAATTATTATACATTTTTACTTTGTCACCAACTAAAATTTTTGCCTGTTTGCCAAAACTCAAATTTTACTGTTTAAAATAGAAATTTTGCTCATACTCATATAGTAAACTGAACATGTGGAAAGGCTTAAAAACAAAACAAACAAAAATAACAACAACAAAACACCTGTGTTTTAGTGTAAGTAAGCTTTCATCATAATTAATGCAAGAGTCTTGACTATTAAATATTCTCCATAATGTTGCCTGCCATTGAAAGAGGAACTTACAGCTCTGCTTGCTAAAGGTAGTGAGACCGTGAAAATACAGGTAGACTTAGACCCCATTGATAGCTTTAGATCACACAAACTGAACTGCTGTAGCTCACACTTCACTGAAGTCAGTCCATACATGCCTGGGTTCTCAGCTTTTGATTCTAGGCCCCAGAGGTTTTCAGATTGTGTATTAATAGGTTTGCCAAGTCTTTGCCAATTAGTGACATAGAAGCAGAGTGATGTAAATGTGATGTTCTGCAACAGGTGGTGAGGATTACAAGCTTCTCTCCAGGTGAAGTATAATAGTAACCTCCCTTTTGGGAGGAGTCTGTTAGGCTTTGCAGCAGATTTAATGATTAAGAAATTCTTTCACAATTGGGAAGCAAAAATACAAACAAAACCACAAAACAACCCACACCCTCTAGTAGTATATCACAAACTTCACATCTAGGGAATGATAAGTTTAGTACACTAGCTGATCTTCAAAGCAGTAAAAGCATATCGAGAAAGGTGAGGTTTCCATGTAGGTAGGCAGTAACTGTTTGAGGTGTAGACATTTGTTCTGTGTTTATTGAATATGAAGTCTGTACATTTTATAGAATTGATGTATGGTCATGTCTGTCCCAGCAGGTACTCAGGGCAAAAAAAAAAAAAAAAGCACCAGTGCTTTTAGGACAGCAGACCTTCATGTTTTTTGTGCCTTTTTTTTTTTTTTTTTTACAGTGAGGATTTAACTGTAGCAAAACAATTTGGTTTTACTGTACCTACATTACAAACTTCCTTGAGCAAACTACAGTATTACTTTAAGTGGTATAAAGTGGAGGCAAGAGCACCTGAATAATTTGTGATTATTTCTGATTTTTTCTGTACATTCTAACATTTATGCTTTATGTGCTGTGCGAGTTCCTAGGTTATTACACCTATTTCTCTTTTAAAGAAATGCTTTGGAATTAAGTAAATATGGGTTTTCTGTTAGAGGTATTCATAATGTCACACGTCCTACTTATGAAGTGTTCATCTTTTTTTTTCTTTTTTTTTTTTTTCCTTCTTCAGCGTACTGGGGATACAAAGCCCAACTTCTTCCAGGATTGCTTAATGGAGGTGTTTGATAACTTAGAACAACACATTCAGAACCCTGTTGTTCTGCAATCAGTCCTGAGACTAATGGAGAGAGGCACAATGGTTCTGACTACAAATTATGACAATTTACTTGAAATATTTGGTCATCAACAGGGTAAACCTATGGAGTCTTTGGACTTGAAAGATAAGGATAAGGTATGACTTAAAAGAGAAGGCAGCTCTGAGTTTTCATTGACAGATTGTTTTCCTGTGTAAAGCCTGTTAAGGCTAAAACTTCTTAATTGTTAAAGCATACTTTTAAGTTAACAGCTGTTGCACTAACATTTATTTTCAGTATTTGTTTATTCTTAATAATCTGATAACAAATCACCAAATGACATTTCAGCAGCATGTTTATTAACATTCCCTACATTCCCTGGAAAAATAAAAACTGATAACTTTCACGAAATAATTGTAACAATCACAAATAAGATTTCACCTAGCTGATAATTGATTTGCTTTTCATATATTTTCTGTCAGCATTGCTGGAATTTGCTTGTTGGTTGAATGCTTGTTTGGACTGAAAAGCTGCAACTATCTTCAGTATCAGTAATCACCTCTTTGTAATTTAAAATAAGCTTAGGGATTAAATTAAACTCTTGCTGCAGGAAAAATGCAGAAGTTACTTCTGCTTTAAGTGGGTTTAGATGTTAGGACAGTTGTATATTTTTTGCAATATCTTACTATAGTAGACATAATGTTTTATTTTCTTTAGGTTCTTCAGTGGGCAAGAGGTCATATAAATTATGGAGTTCTTCATATTCATGGCTTGTATACGGATCCTTGTGGAATGGTGCTAGATCCTTCAGGATATAAGGATGTTACTCAAGATCCTGAAGTCATGGTTTGTGTGATCTTTAAAATTCTTACTGTGTGTTTCCAAACTATTTTGTTTTTGTCATTTCATACACATTACCTTAGCCTGTATGATCCAACAAAACCCTAGCTTAAATAATTGGGACACAGAAAAATGACATTATTCAGAAAGCCAGTGTCCTGGTTTCAGTTAGCACAGAATTAATTTTCTTCCTAGTAGCTGGTGGAATGCTGTGTTTTGGCTTAGGATGAGAAGAGTGCTGATAACACCCCGATGCTTTAATTGTTGCAGAGCAGTGCTTATACTAAGCCAAGGACATCTCAGCCTTTTGCTCTGTCCTGCCAACGGGCAGGCTGGGGGTGCAGTAAGAGCTGGGAGGGGACAGACCCAGGACAGGTGACCCAAACTAGCCAAAGGGGTATTCCATACCATCTGACGTCATGCTAAACAATATATAGGGGTGGCTAGCTGGGGGGAGGGGGCCGGACTGCTCGGGGTTAGGCTGGGCATCGGTCAGCGAGTGGTGAGCAATTGCATTGTGCATCACTTGTTTGTACATACTATTATTACTTTCCTATTATCACCATTGTATTATTATTGTTATTATTTTATTATTATTTTGTTATTATTATTTTCCTGTCTTATTAAACTGTCTTTATCTCAACTCACGGGCTTCACTTTCCATTTCTCTCCCCCGTCCCAGAGAGGGAGGGGGGAGGGTGAGCGAACGGCTGCGTGGTGTTTAGCTGCCGGCCGGGTTAAACCACGACAGCCAGTTATGTTCCTAGGGCAGTGTATGCCCCTGTATACTGCTTCTTTGCAAGTCACAATTAAAAACCCCAGTTGTATGTCATAGTTCCAAAGCTAGTTCTAAAGCTCTTTGAATTTATCTTAAGAACACCAGACCCAGAATATCAGACATCATTGCAATAATTCTTTACCATATTTTACCATATGGTAGCTTGGGTTCATTTTTTAGGGGCATAAGCTATAAGTAGGTCCAGATCTTGGATCCTTAATGGTGTGTTACATGTTTGGAGAAATAAAACATTCGGTAAAGAATATTAGTTTTCTGTACTTATTGATTGACCAACCAGGAGTCTAATATTCTATAATCATTATTCTTTCTGTTTAAAATGTCCTTACTGGAAATATTTATATGTACATAATTTTCTATGGTAGCTTTTGATTTTGAGGATTTATTGTTTTGTAGAAACAGTGCTTATGAAATGTCAGTTTGCTGCAATCCTAAAATATATACTTAATTCAGTGCAATAGTGATAGATGCTCTGCTTCTCCTTTTATGCCTGATGCATTTTAAAAGCTCTTACTTTGATCTTTTGTCTGTCAAAATAAATGTAGCTCTTCTGTTTTTATATTTCTGAACAGGAAGTTATCCAAAATTTGTATCAAACAAAGTCTTTTTTGTTTTTGGGCTGTGGAGAGACTCTACGTGATCAGATATTCCAAGCTCTTTCTCTTTATACTGTAAAGAATAAGGTGGATTTAGAACATTACATGCTGGTGCTTAAAGAAAACGAAGACCACTTTTTTAAGCTCCAGGCAGATATGCTTCTGCATGGAATAAAAGTAGTATCTTATGGGGACTGCTTTAAACAATTCCTGGAGTATGTACAAGATCTGACTACTCAAATCTGCAAGCACAGAAGTCCAGGTAATGTATTAATTCAGAAAATTTAGAGTAGGTACAGCAGGATGCTGTATCTGAACAGTTAGGCTGAAATGATGACAGTGTGTGTTGCTAGCACTAGGCCTGTGGAACATCTCCATTTATTATTGACTTGTAGAACTGAAACACATGCCAAAGCTGTAACCACATTCATTTCTGTAAGTTCTTTTTGTCTATTTGTAGTATTTGGTTAAGATACTCTCTCTCATGTTTGTTTATTGGTCTGGACTATTCTTGTATATTGAGTATTACATTATATGTGTCATAGTAGTAAAAGATAATTTAAAAAATATATAATAATTGGTGGGATAAACTGACCCAAAATTCATGATTACGCTTAAAGTGGGAAACTAAATCAGAAAAGGATGTAAACAGTACACCCAGTAGCATTTAGCTTAACACAGTTAGGACTGTGTTAGAATACCTGAGTGTAAGCATAGTCTTTTGTGAAAGAAAAGTAGGAACTGTGGAATAATATTCCACTTTTTGACAGTAAATGATGTTCTGTAGAGTGTATTTTATGCTAGAATGGGAAATAATTCAATACCTTTGCAGAAGGTAACAGCTATGCATAGACAAGATAAGTTTTACCAAGTAGATCCTTCTACCCGCTTTTTTTTTTTTCCTTTTCCCTTGCATCATGTGGTCTCTCATCTCTTAAGGCTCTCTATTGTTATGGCTAAGAGATTTTTAGTATAAAACAGTAGAAAAAGAGCAATTTGAAGGAAAGGAGAGAGATTTCTTTACCATTTTCCAAACAAGGACAGTTCTACTATGGCTTATTCAGAGAGCTGGGGAAAATAACCTTGGGAAGAATCTCATTTCAAAAATCTTATTTATCATGTCAGTGAAACTGCTTTGTCTACAGTTATTGCAAAGTGGTGCATAGCAGATATCTTGCCCTTGCTCTCTACAAAAGAAGATCACAGGTAAAAGCCCAAACTATGTAATGGTTTCTGTAAGTGCATTTAGACTGGCTTTCTTTAAGTCCATTTAGACTGGCTTAGATTTTTCTGACCATGAAAGCTAGAAAAGTATTATAGCATCTAGGTTTTGGAAGGTCTGTCTGCAGTGTAGACACTGAAAAATACATTGGGGTGGAATGTCAGACACTGAAATAGCCTTAGCCTGCTAGTTTGTTTGGTCTTTGCCACACTAATGTTGATTGTTATGCATATACTTTCATAGTCTGATAAGTATCTAGAGTATGTGGAATCCAGACTATCCAATATATTGCACAGCAGCCATTGGGCTCAAAACAGGGTGAGAAATATATGTAACTGAACTCTAAATATGAAATAAAAAGGGTGATTATTGTTGGAAATGACTGCAAGATCAGACCATAATGCTGCACTTTTCATTCAGTGGGATTACTGATTGGCATACTACTTCCAAGAAGAGGGACCTCTGACTTCTAACTCTTGTTGTTCTTATTTACAAGTCCCAAAGGGACTTATTTACAAAGAAAACTGATTTTAGATGTAACTACTCTCTGTGGTACCCAACTGCCAGGTTTCATTATTTCCACTTCTGCTTTATAACAGACCTTGACAATATATTATTTTGTTATTGTTTCAGGGCTTATCCTGCAGGGAACTCTTTTCTTTCCCCTACTCATGAACTTTCAGTGATTTCTTACTGCCCATAAAAGTATTTCTTCCTTTTTTTGTGTGTTTTTGTTTTAAACTGGGGTTCTTATGCAAAATCTATTTTTAAAAATAGCACAAGAAACTTGTCAGGCTATATGAAAGAAATATAACTTTGGTATTTTGGGGCATTACCTTAAAGGTGCAATAACTGGATGCTAACTTGTGCTGTTGCTGTGTCTCACCCTTCTCTAGATGCTGATTGAGTGGACAGCACAACGCTGTTGGATAAACAGTGTTCTTATTTTCACAAAGTTTCATTATCTACCAGAGATACAAAAATAAGTCTGTAACTTACAATGTAATCAAATGACAACTGTGCAATTCTCTGATTTAGTTGTAAAAGTCTACTTAACAGATTCTTTCTCTTCTTTCCATATAGTAGCAGGTAACTGCTGGGTGTCATCAGTCAGTAAAATGACAAACTCCAGCAAACATATCAAAAATACTAGCGCTGATCAAATTAAGATATTAACATCGATGAGTTTTGGCTTAAATTCCCAAATGTAGATTCTCTCTTTTTAAAGATGACATTCATGTAAGGTATGTAATAGTAAAAGTGAATTTCTGAAGGGTTGTACAATTATCTTTGTGATCCTTTGTGAAGATGGATCACAGGGAAGTTCCACACCAACATGTGAAAGAACGTCATCATAAGGGTGACAGAGCACACTGGAACAGGCTGCCCAGGGAGGTTGTGGAGTCTCCTTCTCTGGAGATATTCAAGGCCCATCTGGATGCCTACCTGGGAAGCCTGCTCTAAGGAACCCGCTTTGGCAGCGGGATAGGACTTGATCTCTTCCAACCCCTACAATTCTGTGATCCCTCTGAAGCAGAGCAATAATACCTTCACTTTTTTTTTTTTGTATAAAATAGCAAAGTATCCCTTTGAAACAACACTTCAACTTAAAAACGTAGCAAAAACATAGCATTTCTAAAATCTTTGTGCTGCTGCAGCAAGTGTCAGGATTACAATGGATCAAAATTGTATAGAAGTATCACTTCATTATTGCATGTTAAGGGTCTTCTGCATTGCAGGAGATGAAAAACCCCACTCTTCCACAACCAAAAAATTATGCAAGGCCCAAGATATTTATGGGCATGTGTAATAACAGATTAATTTTGGAATTTGATTTTAAGCATATCCCTCTTTGAGATGAGGTCATAAACTCTTTTTTCAGGAATGCACAACCAGGCACCAGTGGAGAAGAAACCAGAACAACTTAATCCAGTTCAACTTAGTGAGTTAGTAAGGAGCTTTTAGTTACCACCTTCCTTACAAGTAATTTTAGCACCTGTTATACTTGCATTTTGGAATACATATCACGCTAAAAATTTCTTAACACAGTTTTGCATAGTAAAAATTCAAAACTAGTTTTAGGTGATGTATGTCATAACTTTGAGGGCCTTTCCCTTCCATTAATTTTTACTGTTCACCTTTGCTGTTTCTGCTTCAGCAGTAGCTTATATCTAAAACTGCTTTTTTGAATAACAGCTCCAGACTTTTTACAGAAGCTTCTTGCCTGTGAACTCCACAGGCATTATCACACAAAACCAGAAAACTCCTTTTCTTCAAAAGGCAGCTGTATAATTAGCTAGTTACTGTTTTATATCTTAGTACCACAGCTCAGTGTTGGGAGAAGCCTTGGGGTCACTGAATTGCTGCAGATGTTTACTAGGTGTTAGAATCCAAGTATAAGAACCTTAGTGGACCAGTATTGTGTTTAAATATTTAGTGCTTGTAAAAAAAAAAAAAAACAAAAAACACATATTTATGCACATTCACAAAACATGTATATAGGATGATTAAAATACTATTTCTTACTGTTTGTTTTTTTTTTTCCCTCTCTTTCCACAGGAACTTCATGTATGGACAGTGCTAAAAGGAAATTAAGAGAAAATGGTACTGATTCTCCCAAGAGAATCGAGCAATCAGATAATGGTATATCCACTATTGAATGAGAGGGGGAAAAACACACACAAAACAGTTAAAATCTGCTGTTTTTAACAGCAGATGTTTTATTTCTGCATTGAAGGTTTTGAGCTAAGTATTTCCATGGTTTCAAGTGGAATAAAAATCGTGTATCTGTCTTAGCTTTTTCTTTTCTAGGGATGTAAATAGTAATGCATGTGAAATGATACTAGTCACTCTGCAGGCACTTCTGAACTAGTGAACTACTGAAACTGTATCTGTAAGGTCATTTAACAGCACATAGATACAAGTTTTACCTGCCTGTTCTTGAAGCCAGATGGACCAAGTTCTTAACATTTTGGCCTGAATACAGTGATTTGAAGCACAATGGAGGTGCTGTTCAGATCTGTCAATTACTGTTGGCATACTATGGAACTACCTGTTAGTTGCCTTTAAAATGAAGGATTTCTTAAAATTCTTTTTCTCATCAGCTGATCTGCAATTAGGCTGCATGAGGTTGATTTCTTCAGGGGGGGTCTGTCAGCACAAGTTTGCAAGATTCAGACCTCTCTAAGCTGCTTTGAGCAGGAAGTGTTTTGCATTTATGGAACCTACATCACAGTAACTTTCCCTATTTTATGTTTTTAGCACAAGCATTTGTTTTCACTTTTCAGTCTACTAAGGCATGAGTTTACAGGGAGGGAAATCAAGAAAAATACAGTGGCATGCATGGGGGTTTACTGACCCTTTTGCACTATATTTTCATGGAAATATTCTAGTGGTTGTTTAAACACAGTATGTTGCCAGTTATCTCAGCAGATAATGGACAGTCTTAATGCAGTGGGAATAAAACAGGGTAGTATCTGATCAAGTATCTGACATCTTCTAGTGTGTAACTTCGATGACAGCTGAACTACTCAAATGACTAGCATTAGGCAGTATGCTCACTTCTTTCCTGAGTTACTGTCACTTTACCTCGCACTGAATTGTTCCAGCACTTGACTGACAGAATTACTGCTTCAGTTGCTAACACTGATCTGGAATTTTCTAGTCAGCTGCCTCTCACCTCAATGTCTGCAGGAGAGCATATTCAGGGTCATTTTTGTGCTGATATGAACCCATTTATATCTGGGGGTCCTGGAGGTTGCTTCAGGCAGGTTTCTCTGAGGTTCCTTATGGAGCTGATCTATAACGCCTTGTGAGAGTGCACAACACATGTGATGTTGTATGGGGAAGTGAAAGTCATAGGGCTGGGTGGCTGGGCCCACTGAGTTGTAAATGGAATAAAATCCAGCTGGAGGCCAGTCACCAGCAGCGTCCCCCAGTGCTCAGTAATAGGGTCAGTTCTCTTCAGTATCTTTATCAATGATCTGGACAAGGAGACTGCAAGCTTACTGACAGTGCACACAGTGTTGATCTGCTCGAGGGTAGGAGGGCTTTGCAGAGAGATCTGGGTAGGCTGGACCAATGGGCTGAGGCCAACTGTATGAGGTTCAACAAGGCTCTGTGCTGGGTGCTGCACCTGGGGCACAACCCCATGCAGTGCTACAGGCTGGGAGATGAGTGACTAGCTGAAAAGCTGCCTGGCAGAAAGGGACCTGGGGGCAGTGGTTGATAGCTGGCTGAATACGAGCCAGCAGTGTGCTCAGGTGGCCAAGGCCAATGGCATCCTGGAGAAGACGATGCTTAGGGGAGACCTTATTGTTCTCTACAGCTACCTGAAAGGATGCTGTAGTGAGATGATGATTGGCCTCTTCTCTGACTGAGAAGCAATATGCCTCAAGTTGTGCCAGTAGAGGCCTAGGGTTGATATTAGGAAAAACTTCTTCACTGGAAGCATTATGAAGCATTGGAAAAGGCTGCCCAAGGAAGGGGTTGAGCCTCCATCACTGGAGGTATTTAAAAGATGTGTAGATGTGGTGCTTAGGGCTATGGGTTAGTGGTAGCCTTGGCAGTGCTATGTTAATGGTTGGCCTTGATGATCTTAGAGGTCTTTTCAAAACTAAATGAGTCTATGGAAAACAACTTCTGCATGTTCTGTAGTCTGTATGTTTACAAAATGAAAAGCTTGAAACTAAGACACATGCTTCTTTCTAGACTAATCACCACTGAGATGGTTAGAGTTCTTCTGGTGGGGTATGTCCTTGTCCCTTTTCTGAAGTAGGCAAATGAAAGTTCTGAAGATACTTTACATAGAAAAGCAATCTAAACAATATGCGTGCACTCCTCCTCCTATCTCAGAAGAAAATACTCCATATTTAGAAACCATACTTAAGAATACTATCTTACACCAAAACCCAAAGAATCCAACTACCCGTTCACATGTTTTCAGCTGTGTTTTTTTAAAGTTAAACCAGCCGGAAAGGTGGCCATATGCATCCTCTCCTTTAAGACACTGCATTTCTGCACACATCACTTTTGAAAATTGTCTTTTAGCCTCATGTACCATTACTGGTAAGACTAACCTATGGAACTTGCCCTCTCCAATCAGCATGAATGGGTAGTTTCAGTGGTTAGGCATGCTGGCTTGGACAATGCTGTATCAGATTAGAACACTTATGTTGCAGGTTGAAGCATCAGTTTAACTTACAAATAAATAGTCAGTCCTTAAGAGGTCAGTTTAAGCTGTACCCTAAAATCGTGTAGCACTTTATCCTGTGCCTCAGATCAGATCCACAGTAGAAAACCACATTCCCTTCCTCTTGTAAGGATCAACTTGCAACTAAACGTTAGTGATTCTTTGGTTTTGTAGACAATGGTGACTTGTACAACAGTCTTTCCTTACTCAAGTGGTTTGCATTTGAATCTGGAAAAGCAGATAAGTAATTAATGGATTATTTTAGGGGTTATACCCCTATCACATGACTATTGTCATCCATTTACATTTTAGCCAGTGTATGGAAAGGGTTGCCTTAAAGCTACCTCAGGGTTTAAAACAGTCAAAAGGGACAGAAGGTGCAGGCTGTTGCATTTGATTTATGAGTTATGCAAAAGAGTAACATGTTTAGAACCTCATTCAAATTACTACCTCTGTACAGTGAAGAAACTACCCCTACAAACTGGACATGTTAAATGTTTGCTGAGTCTACTCTAGATGATTCTTTTTGTACTTTTTTAAAATGGGTCTAAGATACTTACTGACTTGAACAGTCTCCTTGACCATTTATTATCCTGTTTTGTTTATGCTACATAATGAGATGGTAGGAAATCTAGTACATACTCTAATATTAAAAATCAACCATGCCAGTCTTGTATAGTAGCTAATATACGTAGCTTTTACCTTTCTTCCCACATTTAGTTCTTTCCTGTATTTTTCTATTTCAACTGTGTGTTCTGCATAAATGGTTAAAATCCCAAGCTTCTGTATTTGCAATATGCAGACTGATCTGGATCAAAGATCTTTAAAAAACATTAGCAGTAGCTCTTCTATTCATCCTTCACACCAATAAAAGCACTGCCATGCTTGTTAAAAGATGTTTAAATAAGTGTTACAAACTTGTAGAGTATGTTCAGAGTAAATCATTTTTATTTAATGGAGTGTAGCAGCAACATTAACTATTTGATAAACATTTCTCTACAGTTAAGTGGATACATTTAAGTCACTGAAATGCCTTCCATAGGAACACACTAATGCTCATATTTCATTCCTTACGCAGTAACCTCAACCGTCCAGTATTTAATTATGTGCAACAAGCACTATAGAAGCAAGACATTACAAAGTGTAAGTGTGTAATAAGCATGGTGGACTACAGGAAGTTAGTATATGAACACAAGATATAATTAGGAGCAAGCATAAGCCAAATGAAGGTCTTCAGTATGCACCAAGATAAAACCCAAGCGAGATTAATTGATTCTAGCTCTCAAATAATGTTCTGTAACCAACTTTGTTATTGCTGTTTCTTAGATGAAGCACAGCCAGTAAGATTGATGGCACTAGGACAGCTATACAACAGGTAGTTGTCAGCTCAACTGCAAAATAATAGCAGATAATTTTTTCTAAGGCTGCTACCTCTATGGCAGCTGCCTCACACCTGTTTTATTCTTCTCTGTTGTGGATAGGGTACAATACCTTGGAATTTTTTTCCAGGTCGCATTATACCTCTAAAAATGTGTAAGGCAAGCTTTTGTAAAGCTCACTCTTTTCATAAGGTATCAGGGGACAGCTGAAATATTAAAGGCATCACACAAGTCATGCAAGACATTAGCTATATTCCTGGTTTTTAAAATACCAAGATAGTGGAAATAATCCTATCTGAAAGCAAACACATGCACCTGCAACACAAAGACCTGTAAAGGTCCTGACAAGACCAGTGTTAATATGCACTGGAAATAAATCTAAACACATTTCTTCTCATAAAAAAAGAAGTCTTACTCTCTGCAATGCAGTGCACTTATGTGAACCCATAGTCCATCTTAAGACAGAAAAAAAAACATAAAAAATACCTTTGAGGAAAAGGCTTTGCTTACCAGAATAACACACACTTAATAAGAACCTCTGTCTTGTTAACAAACTGTATCAATGAGTGACTCCCTCAAAGTTTTAGAACACTTTTTTTTTAAATGTAAACATTTATCTATTGATCTGTAATACCCACTTTCAGATTTTAAGTCAGCTGTAAACATGCTTCTTATCACCTGGCCCTGAAGTTATCCTTGGTTTATTTTTATAAAGACTCCATTTCTTCTTGGTCATCTGGATACTCGGTAAGATCCAAAGTCAGTACCTGACTGAACATACCATTATCATGCTGAAAAGAGGAAGAATCACATAATTCAAAACATTTCTGTTACTTGAAGTAAACACTTCATAAATGACTGCGATACAATAATGAGCTTGAGTTACCAAAGTGGTCTTTTCATCAAATCAGTACATGCAGTTACATCTGAAAACAAAATTGTTCAAACCTGGCAACAACTTCATACATAATTCACTAGTAATTCTGCACATGTAAATTAGTACTTCAACAGAACCAGCTTGTGTTAGTTAACAAAACTTAGTAATTTTTACCTCTGGACACACTCCAATCAATGCATCTGCTTTGGAATAAAACTCTTCCTTCAGAGAAATAACTATCATTTGAAACTGTTCATGTGCCTGCTCCCTAATGAAACTTGATACCTTTAGAAAGAAGCCAAATGATAAAGTTAGTTCTGGCCAACTGAAACCATGCTGTAATTACTATAATCATGGAATGGTGAGGAAAGAACTGAACTACATTAGCATCGGAAGTCATTGATTCAGTTGTGAAATAAGGAAGATAAAAAAGAGAAAACTGTCTTAAGACATACAATGCATATTAAGAACCTCCCTCTGATTTGCTGCTTTGCTAACAATCATTCACTCCAATGAATAAAGCTACAGAAGAACATCAGTGCCAATGGAAGTTA